TTTAATAAAGACGCATATCTAGAAAATATCAAGAACTCTTAAAATTTGACAATTGCAAAAAATAGCTAGAAATATAAAAGAACAGGGACAAAAATCATGAGAACTATCCATGCTTTCCCAAGAAATTTCTCACTGGGAGTTATGCTGCACACCTGTAATCCCATCACTCTGGGAGGCTGAGGCAGGAGGATTGCAAGTTTGAGTCCAACCTGGAAAACTTAGAGACCCTGGCTCAAAATTAAAAAATGAAAAGGGTTGGGGACATAGCCCAGTGCAAAAGCCCTGGTTTCAATCCCCTTTGTGAAAGGAAAGAAAAAAAAAAAAAGAAAGGGAGTGAAGGAGGGTTGGGGGGAAGGGAAGGCGGGAGGCTGGAGGGCAAAATAAAATCTCTTTTGCTTGCTCCTTCCTTGCCTGAGTCCCAGCCTCTTCCCTTTCCATCTGTTCACTCACTAAGAGACCCCAGTGTTCTCTGAGTGGTTCCTGTGTTACATTTGTGCTGATTTATTATGCAGCAAAAGAAAATAAATACACCCGGAATGCTTTCTCACTAACAGCCACACACCACACAATTCTAAACCCTTGCCTTGGCAGGAAACTGGAACAGGGGAAAAGCTGTCAGCAAAGATTTTGACAAAGATCTCAGGGACTAGGAGCCAAAGAATAAAGTGATAGCTTTGACTCATAAGATAAAAACGAATTTAATTCTCTTTACCCCGGCCTCTGGATCTTTTCATTATAAATTAAGGCAGGAAAAAAAGCCTCTACTCTCTTCAATAACTCTGGTCTTTCTGTGAAGGATGTTTTAGGCACTGGAATGTAATTAGAGTGATATTGTATTTCTTTTATTCTCTTGATTATAATAATACATAGATGTCAGCGGATACTTCCAACAGCATTGAAGAAAAGACAGAGGGCTGACATTTTGGCTGGAATTGAAGACCAGTGGAATATTTCAGATAGCAGCATTTCTACAAGAAGGATGCAGATTGCTACTGGAATGTGTAGGCATTTACCTGACGTTTTCAATAGCTATCCTTAGATGGATATTTTAGCAAAGCTGAAAATATCAATTTGTTGGTATTGAAGTAGCAAACTGTTTATTTGGAAATACGAGATGAGCATAATCCAAAACCTAGTTCTGAGGTTTCTTCTTTATCATGTCAAAAGGACATCTGCCTTCCTCACATACCCTGCTCCCCAAGGCCTGAAGCTGTGCAAAAGGACTGGCAGCTGTCACCTGGGGGTGTGGTCCCCGGTATGGAGTCTGAGGACTAGGGAGTACCCGGCAACCCCAGCGAGGCCTGCTCTGTACGCTCAAAACGTGCCTCTCTCGTGGGAGCCGAAGACAAGCTGTGGAGCCCCTCCCCACTCCAGGAGGAGTCGCCCAGTCCAGGAAGGGCCTGTCCTGGACCCCTGGAAAACCGGACTATGATCAGTGACTCTGAAAGTATGTCGTCAGTGTGAAATTTCTTAACTCTGACGACTGCACTATGCTCACATAAGAGAGCGCCTCTATTCGCTGTGATTTTTAATTGACACCTACCATCTGTAGGTATTTATGGCATAAGGTCTACCCAGGCAATGTGCAGTGCTCAAACCTGGGTAACTAGAAATTCCCCCTCCTCAAGCATTCATCATTTTCCTCTGTTGGGAAACTGGGAATTCTCATAGCTCTTTTGAAGCGTATCATAAATTGTCGGAGACTATAGTGACCCACATAGAAGGCCAGACAAATTTCCTCCTCTGGATGCATTTTGGCTCCTGTTGTCTAACTTTTCTCTGTCCTGCTGCCCTCTCCCTTCTCCGTCTCCAGTGCCCACTGTGCTGCTTTAGTCTACTAGGAGACTGGCGTCTTTAGCTTCCACAAGTTGGTGAGAAGACAGGAGGTTTGTCTTTCTGTGCTGGCTCCAGCCCTGTCTGAGACTATCTCAGACCAGTGTGCCTGGCTCAGGACACCAGGTAACAGTGGCATCTTATCTCTGTTCTCAAGAAATACGCACAGTACATTATTTCCTCAAATGTTTCCTCAAATGGTTCAGAGAAAGAAATGTGCACTTGTATTTATGTATGCACATGCATGTGTGTATAGAGAGCGGAGCACAGGATAAAGCAAATGAAGCCAATTGTTAAAAATAGTTAAGTCACTCGAGTATCCTTCATATTGCAACTTTTCTTTCAGTATGAAGTTAAAACAATTTCTAAGGAGGAGCACTTTACCCAGGTTTGATGACACCCACCTATCATCCCAGCGCTAGGAGAGCAGAGGCAGAAGCATTGAAGCAAGTTTGAGGCCAGCCCGGGCTACACAGGGAGTTCCAACCTACCCTGAACTACACAGCAAGACTTTGTCTCAAAAAATTCCATCGACCAATAAATTTAAAAGGAACAGTTTAAAAGTCCTGTTAGCATTTTCGTATTGACACCCTTTCCATCCTCCACTGAAAGGCAGTCTGTTCTAAGAAATGAAACTACAGCTTTTAGGCATCAGGTACCTCTGTGTGATTCTACGCCACAAGATAAGAGTAAGTCCGTGCTAATTTGTTCATTCTTCTTTATATCTTATATGCTTTTTTTTTTGTTTTGTTTCTACGCCACAAGATAAGAGTAAGTCCGTGCTAATTTGTTCATTCTTCTTTATATCTTATATGCTTTTTTTGTTTTGTTTTGTTTTTTATTTTTTGAGACAGGGTCTCACTATGTAGTTGAGACTGACCTGGAACTCACTATGTAGCCCAGGCTGGTCTCGAACTCACAGTGGCACTCCTGCCTCAGCCTCCCAAGTGCTGGGATTACAGGCATGTGCCACAACGCCCAGTTTATTTTGTATGTTTTTTATTATATTACTTTGTTGTAATCATTTTATATAAATATTTTGGGATTATGGAATGAATCATCTCAGTTTCCATTATTTCTTATGGGGAATTCTCTTTGATTTACATGTGTTTGGATACAAGCATGTTTCCAGAACAAATTAGGCTTACAAACTAAGGTTTTACTGTAAGTTAAATCCCTGATCATGAGAATGCAACCACTTTCAAGGAAGTTTTAAGTGTTTCTTAGGCAAGATAGATGAACCAAACCCACAAGAGGAAGACTGATGTATCTGATTCTATTACGTTTAGAGAGTTCTGGGCAGCCAAGGATGCCACAAAGATGAAAGATAAGCCCCATGCTGACAGCATATTGCAGCATATGCAGCAAAATAATTAACATCCAGAAGAAAAAATACAAAAGACTAATAGCAACACAAAACCTGGGAAAATGATATATAATAGGAAATGTACAGAAAAAGATAACTGTCTGATAAATATTTGCCGAAGTGCCCTCTGGAAAGATGGACCCCATTATGAGTCCCCTGATGACTAGCACCGGGAGGTCACTATGTGTCCCACCTGCGCTGAGGGCTGGGGCTGCAGGAACAGACTGAACTCCCTCAGCAGTGCTGAGAGGCAGGTGGCATGGTGGCCGCCCACTTGCAGATGTGACGTCCGATCCTAGTGGGGATACATAGCCTGGCTGCTCTGGGATGGCACATAGCAAGAGCGAGGCTTCCCAGTCCAGGAGTTTCGAAGGAGACCCACTCTCCTCCCACCATGCATTGCAGTGGTGGCCCACAGGTCCCCACAGGCAGGGGTGCCTGGCCCGGGACACGAGGTAACAGTGGCATCTTGTCCAGAGTTTGGAATTTAACTTCCGCTCTCCCCCAAAGTGACCAGTTTGTACCTCTTCATAGGGCAAAAGCAGAAGGCAGGGGTAGAACTTCTGCCACCCTATGCCCCTTCACTGGCCCCTGCACAACCTGAGCTTCTGTCTGTCAGCACGTGCCACCCCTGTGCCGTGTGCAGCCACACATCTCTCCCTCCATCTCCATCTGTACATGGATCTGCCTGTCTCCGTAAACCCCCTTCTCTCTCTGGGTTTCCTTCTGTCTGTCTCCTCTGATTTTACTTTTCTCCCTCTCCATCTGGCTCTCCTTTTCTATTTGGCTCTGTCCCTCTCCCTTCTTGCAATACATAGCATTAATGATCTTCTGTACAACAAAGACAGCTCTGAGTAATAGAGTCCCCTCCACAGCCTGGTGCCATTGATCCACATCGGTGCCGCAGCACCCCCTACCTAGATGTGCTCTTCCAATGTCTTCATCACCATTTGCCTCTGTTAAACTGAACTTCACTCTCTCACAGTCCTGAAAAGTAACCATGGTTGGCTCCCTGGTTGGGAAGCTGATACTGGAGTTTCAGGAGCTTATTGTCAGCTATGAAGTCAGGACTGAAACTGCTTTTCTAGATCCTGAGCTGGAGGCTTTCTCTGCTACCAGGACCTTTCTATTCCACCCTGGCCCAGGGGCACTGATAAAGTTGCAACTGAAATGGAACAAATTAACAAATCAGAGCCTGGTTCACTGTCAGGTCAGAGTCAGAAATGCCCTCCAAGCAAAAACACAGCCCCGGGCCAGAGGAAGGTGAGGTCAGCCCATTTCCACACCACTCACGTACCCAGGAAGAAGGGCAGGGCTCTGAGGACATAGAACCCAGGCGCATGCTGGCCCTGGGCTCCGGGCTCCTGCAGCCAGCACAGTGAGCTGTGTGACCCAGGCTCAGCTTGGGGTTAGGATCCACAATCCCGGTGACTGATGAGAAAGGAAGCCACTGCCACCATGGGGTTCCTCTGGGCCCTCTGCCAGGCAGTAAGGGCAAGTGTGTGAGCTGAGAGTTCCCATAGGGATGGGCATTGGCCTTGGTTTGTGGCCTGCAGCCCTCTCCATGGCATGTGGGCACCCAGCCTGGTGGGGTGGGCTTTTGTGCCTGAAGTTTTATGCTCGTGAGTCTCGGGGAAGGCCGAGGGCAGATCAGCCTGCCGTGGAGTCAGCCCTTGTCATGACCCTCTCTGGGCAGGGACAGGAAGTGCCAGGTGGCACCAGGCAGCACTGTCACTACCTTTGTGACACGGACCCTTCTATGTGGAAGACCTATTGCGCTCTTCTCAGAGGGACAGTTTTCAATGCTCAAACTAAAAACTTTGGGGATTACAAAGATCAGAAATACTGAAACTGTTATCAAATATTTTTATCTAAAAAAATTGTATTAGTGTATGCTTGTAGTACACATTGATCTTTTTCCTCATGGTGAGTTACTGCAGGTATGTACACATCTTTTTTATTTTTTCATTCTCTTCCTCTCTCCCTTCGCCTTCCCTGAATCAGGCACACAAGTTTAAATATCAAGTCTTCTCTCATATGAATAACCCAAAGTATTAATACACTAAAGAGAAAAATAAAAGGTAGGCAATAGGAACAGGGAGATAGATCTTTGCAAAAGGGAAGGATATTAGAAAATTTTTGAGAAAGCAGACTTGTGATATGGAAGATTTGTCTTCTTGATCCTCAGAGCAAGCAGCAGGATCCAAGGGCAGATGTAGCTGCTGCCTGAGGGTGTGGCAACACAGGTAAAAGATTTGGAGGTGCCTAAAGGGGCTGGGGTGTGGAGGGAAACACCGAGGCCGTGTGGGAAGGTTGCTGTGATCTGGGGCTGTGACCTCTGTGCTGTCAAGAGAACTGCACTTGGGTTCCAGGACAGAGGACAGAGCTGTGGCTCCTCTCCCATCCAAGTTCACCGCTGCAGATCCAGCTGCCCACTCTGAAGAGCTGTGATCGTCAACCCAGGCTCTGCTTGCTGGTTGGAGTTCACATCAGGGGTGCAACAGATGTTACTGTTTAAAGTGTACTGGAACTTAACAGCAAGCCCTGACCCCCTCCAAGAGAGCAGGAAGAATCTGAACTTTCATCCATGGGCTCCCTGTTAATTTCCCTAACAGCAGCCACCAACTTGCTGGCCCTGCTTACTGTGCCTGGCACTCCCTGGATGTGACACTTGTCTGACCCTCATCACAAGTTTATGAGCTAGGTCAGAGGAAGAAAAAAAAAATCACAGAAAGCATGTGGAACCCAGGCCCTCTGCTGACAGCCTGTGCCACCCAGGGCCATAGTTCAGCACCCAGCTGGGGATGGGTATCCACAGAGCCTTTCATGGAGTTCACCTGGGCCTCACACAAATCACGGGCAAAAGACAGGAAAGCTGATCCTGAGAAGAGCAATTTGATTCATTCTATGCCATAAAGTTCCATCTTTTGCCTAGATACACTTTATTTATTTCCCAGAATTATCAGTTTTCACCTGTATGGAAAAATATGCAGCCTTGCTTGTTTCTATTGAAATATGAGGTTTAAAAAAAAAAAAGTGTCCCCATTGAAGGGAAATGTGTAGGGGAAATATTGCACTTTGCTTGGAAGTGCTGGGTAAGAAAGTGACTTGCAGATGGAACAACCTATAGACTACTGAGAAGGAAGAGAGCCAAGCTCAGACCAGCCCGGGGCTCCCGGGCCCAGGTGGGTCCATTGGCAGGAAAATTACTCATTTTCTGATGGTGGTAAGAGATTTTCAAGTAATTCCGTAGGACAGAGTCAATACCCAAAGCAGAGTGATCTTTCACTCTGGAAAGCCTCTAGGGACCACCTGCAGGGGCTCAGCCAAGTCTGTGCACCAGGAAGGGACAAGTCTGCGGCAATAACTTCTGCTTTTCACCTGTCACAGTCTCCAGAGTCTGAGTTGTGAGTCTGCTGCCCAAAATGCTAGGGAGAGGTGCAGGAGCTCCAGGTGCCCCTTGAAGGAATGTTTCGTGGGCCCTAAAACTGCCCAGGGCTCCACAGGGTGACACCCACTAGGTTGCCTTAGGGTGAGACCTGTCCAGGGAACCTGGCATGGTGTGATGCCCCAGCAAGTGCCCTGTTCCCTTTCTGTAATGAATAATAGGTGCCCACCCAGGGGCTGTTCCTGCTACAGGTGATAGACAGGTTGCTGGAAGGCAGGAACCAGAGCACCTCGCCTGTCCCAGGTGAGCTCCCAGTCATATCTGTGTCTTCCTTAACTTATTCCAGCCTCCCACCACCCAGGAGGAATACCGTGGAGCTCACCTGTGGTCTCGATGTCACCTGTACTGCTGGTCAGCAGAGCGAGCCTCACTCTGTCCACTCTCACATCCTGACCTGCCTATGGGGTGCCAGTGCCACCTCCAGCACTGTCCTCTTGGGATCCTGTCCCCCCCTGCACCCTCACATCAATCACAGAGCCCCAGATTTCTCACCCCAAGTGGTTCCTTGAGTGCAAGCTGGAGAAACTATCAGATACCATCACTGTGAGAGATTTGGAAGTTAAAAGTGGGAGAACTTGACACTCAGTCTATAATACACATGTAGAATTCAGTGCATGACAATTAAAACTGAACTATTCTTCCCAAGCACACAAGCGGCACTTGCCCTCAACACAGCCAGACACTGGGCCACCAGGCAAGTCTCAAAAAGTTCAAAGAACAGGTGACAGGGCAGGGTAATGGGGTCAAAGGACAGTGACAAAAATGCATGACCAAATTCCCATATGTTTGGAAATTTAAAAACATTTCTAAGTCAGCTTCTTTGTCAAAGATGAGGTAGCTGAGTGCATCTGGAGGTTTTGTGTCTTCCAATCTGTTCCACTGATCCTCAGGTCTGTTTCTTTGCCAGTACCATGCTGTTCTTATCACAGTGGCTTTGCAGTATAATTTCAAATTGGGAATTGTTATACCGGCTGACATGTGTCTGTTGCCTAGGATGGCTTTTGCTATGCTAAGTCTCTTAAGGTTCCAAATGAATTTTTGGATTCTTCTTTCTAGTTCTGTTAAGTACAGTGCTGGAATTTCAATTGGCATTGCATTGAATCTGTATAGCAGTTTTGGAAGTATGGCCATTTTCACTATGTTGATTCTTCCTACCCAGGAGCAGGGGATATCTTTCCATTTTCTTATATCCTCTTCAATCTCTTTTTTCAGAGTGCTGTAGTTATCAATGTAGAGGTCTTTTGCTTCTTTTGTTAGGTTGATTCATAGATACTTCATTTTTTTGGATGCTATTGTGAAAGGAATTGTTTCCCTAATTTCTCTATCAGTGAGTCTGTTGTTTGTGTACAAGAAGGCTACTGATTTTTGTGTGTCGACCTCGTATCCTGCTACTCTGCTAAAAGTGTCAATTAAGTCTAGAAGTCTTTTGGTGGAGTATTTGGGTTTTCAATGTAGAGTATCATATCGTCAGTGAATAATGACAGTTTAACTTTTTCCTTTCCTATCTTTATTGCTTTAATTTCTTTTTCTTGTCTAATTGCTATGGCCAATGTTTCCAGAACTATATTGAAGAGGAGTGGTGATAGTGGGCATCCTTGTCTTGTTACTGATTTTAATGTGAAGGTTTTCAGTTTTTGGCCATTTAATATGATGTTGGCTGTTGGTTTTTCATAGATAGCCTTTATTAAATTGAGATACAGACCATCTATTCCAATTTTTTGCAGGGTTTTTTTTAGCATGAATGGGTGTTGAATTTTGTCAAATGATTTTTCTGCATCCATCGAGAGGATCATGTGGTTTTTGTTCTTGACTTTGTTAAAATAGTGTATTACATTTATTGATTTATGTATGTTGAATCATCCTTGCATCCCTGGAATAAATCTGACTTGGTCGGGATGTATGATTTTCTTCATGATCTTCTGTATTATGTTTGCTTATATCTTATTAAGGATTTTTGCTTCTATGTTCATTAAGGAGATTGGCCTGTAGTTCTCTTTTTTAGTTGCGTCTTTCCCAGGTTTGGGAATCAAAGTGATACTTGCCTCCAGGAATGAAGTTGGAAGTATTGCTTCCCATCCCCACTGGAGGAAAGATAGCCTCTTTAATAAATGGTGTTGGAAAAATTGAATCTCAACCTGCAAAAGATTAAAACTAGACCCTTATCTTTCATTATGCACTAAATTAAAATCCAAGTGGATTAAAGATCTAAATATTAAAACAGCAACACTAAACTTGCTGGAAGAAAAGTTAGGCAGAACTTTGAAAGACATTGGCATAGGAAAAGATTTTATGAACAAATCCTCAGTAGCATGAGAATTAGCAGAAAGAATCAACAAGTGGCATCTCATCTTATTAAAAAGCTTCTGCACTGCAAAAGAAACCATCAACAGAACTAAGAGACAACCTACAATGTGGGAAAAAAATTTTACCAGCTGCTCCTCAGACAAAGGACTATTATCTAGAATATATAAAGAACTCAAAATAACCAGCCCCCCCAAATATAAAGACCCAATTCAAAAATGGGCATCTGAAATGAACAGACAAAGAAGTAAAAGCAAGTAAATATATGAAAAAATGTTCCACATCACTGGTCATTCGAGAGATGCAGATGAAAACAACACTGAGATTTCCCCCTCACCCCACAAAGAATGGCTGCTGTCAAGAAATCAACCAATAACAAATGTTGCTGGGGCTGTGGAAAGAAAGGAACCCTTCTCCATTGTTGGTGGGAGTGCAGACTGGTGCAACCACTATGAAAGTCAATATGGAGATAGCTCAAAGAACTAGGATTAGAGGTTCCATTTGACCCAGCCATCCCTCTGTTGGGTATCTTCCCAAAAGGATTAAAAGAATCATACCACAGTGATATATGCACACCCATGTTTATAGCGGCACAGTTTGTAATAGCTAAAACTTGGATACAGCCCATATGCCCATCAGTTGGAAACTGGATAAAGAAGATGTGGTTTTTCTATAAAATGGAATACTACTCAGCCATAAAGAATGCAAAAGTAGATTCATTCATAGGTAAATGGGTGCATTTTGAGGATATACTCCTAAGTGAAATAAATAAGTCTCACATGTGTAAATACCGAATAGTTTCTCTGGTGTGAAAAACTAAAATAGTACTCAAGATCCTAACGGGATAATTAGCAATGTGAAATAGGAAGAAAAGTACTAAAGATGTAGGGACAGTGAGAAGGGTAGGGGAAGGGGAATAATGGAAAGGGAAAAATATGAGAAAATGTAAAAATGGAATTAAAATGTTGTAGGTGGGGAGTGGAGGAGGGGGTGAAGGGAGGGCATGGACAAGGGGAAAAAAATGAGAACCAAGACCTGTCATGTAAAGGTACAAGATCCCAGTAATGAATGTAACTGTATTGTCTACCTAGAATGTACCAATAAATTGAATTTAAATTACAAAAAAACATTTCTAAGTAACTCATAATTAGAGAAAAGGATTATGGTGAAAATTAACAATAGCTGGAAGTGAGTGAGAATGGAAGTGGGTGAGAACGGAAACGTCGCCTCTCCGGATCTGCAGAGCACTAGCGAAGCCATGATTACAAGGGAGGGTGTAGGGTGAACACTTCAAAAACAATGACTTTTTAAACAGAAAGAATCTGGGTAACCAGGTTCAGAAATTTGGAAAAGAAGAAGCCCCTATCCTAACCCCCTAAAAAAGGGAAATGAAATTTTAAAAAAAGAAGAACAGAAGAGAGTAAGCCAGAACTCGAAGATAAAACCTCCCACAGAATGGATTAAGAAAAAGAGGGAAGGTCAGTAGAGCAGGATCTGTCATAGCAAAGAAGACCTTGAAAGAATGAGAAACTTTATCAACGAGAGAATGGATAATATTTTTATAAGTTTTTACGGTGGAATAGTATACTACTATAAAATGAATGAATGATAGTAGTACAGGATCATTTCAGTAAATCTTAGGAACAAACCATTGTGTGAAAATTCAAGTTGCAAAAGGCATAAATGGAATGATACTATTTTCATGAAGCAGAGAAACAAGCAAAGCTAAACTATAATGATTTCGGCACACATTCATAGTTTCCACTGAATAGTACTTTTTTCATTTCAGGGAATGATAAATGCAGAATTTGGGACAGGGTTATCTCTCGGCAAGGCAGACAGAGGAGACAGAAGACAAGTAGAATAGAATGCAAAAGCAGTGCCTGAATGCTCTAATGCCAGGTGGGTGTGGGGTGTTTTTGTTATTATGCTTCATTAAGAGGAACATGATATGCTGCATGTTTCCCACATAAGTCCTGATTCATGCTCATAATCTTAGTGCAACTCTAACAGTATCTGATGTCATTCCCAAAGGTGTGACAAATATCCTGATCTGAATAATAAATTATATAATCACAATCATTATGCATAACCCACATGTGTTATGGAGAATCAGATATGCATTAAAGATTGCATAATTAAAATGAATTTGAAATAAATATGAGTACCAGAAAGGTGGTGCTAATGGAAGTTTATACTGATGCACCCGTTCTAACAAAGAAACATCAGCTACAGAAAAGGCTTCCTCAAAGGGCTGTATGCGTAACTCAGAAGTACAGCATATGCTTACATTTACAGGGTCCTGGGTTCCATCCTTACCACCACCTGGACAGAAAGATTACACAAGATTTGACCGACTGGCCCCACGTGAAGGAATATAGCTCAAGGAATTAATTGAATAAGTGTTTATGGAAGCAAAGGATGTGCGCCATCAAGCTATAGAAAATTAAAAATCAAAACAACTAAAAGATAAGAACTGACCTACATTGGCACCCACCAATGAGTATGTACCGGTCAACACAGGTCCTCCTGCTTTGCTACCTTGCTTGGCTCTCAGTAAGTTCAAGTGCACTGGTAACCAGGGATTTAGCTCAGTGGTACTGTCACCTGCCTCACAAGTGTAAGGTCCCAAGTTGTGTGTATGCGTGTGCATGTATGCACATGCACACTGGTGCAGATATCTAATTCTAGGAAAGAAAGAAGAGGAAAGTTATAAATAAATATGGTCAGTGACTCCAGCTCACCTGTTCAAATCCTTTTGCAATTAATGAACCATTCGACTTTCGACCACAGTTAGCAGAAGTAATAAGGTTCAGCGAGGTGAAGTGTGCATTTAGGGGCAGTCTAGAGGGAATTTTATACTAAAGTGACCCACTTTTACCATAAATACATAAGCACACATTGTTATTTTGATATTGCCTCCTGATTAGAAAACTTGTATTTATGCCTTTACATAGTCCTGGCTTAATTTCCTTCCCTGTCTCTGCACAGCTGCGCACACTCCTGGTGCTGACCCAAGGATAATATTGTGATTCTAAATTTCTCCAAATATGGCCAGGTCATGATAAAAAGTAGAAAGTTCATTAAGGTTCTAATGCAAATTTCATTATTAAAGTCATCAATCTGGAAATAATGAAACCACTAAAACCCAAAAGCAACTTTCACCCTCAATTTTTGTTCAGGGTCCTGTGTGAGCTACAGAGCGAATCACCCACTGATGGGGCTTTGGGAAAACCGCAGATCGAGCCCACATCCAATAGTACTTGAAACGCTGAGTCCCAGGAGAACTGGCTCCAGGAATCCTGGCCAAAGAATCCAGGTAGAGCATACTAGAAGCCCTGCTCAGAGACAGCTTAAAGGGCAGAGCACCTTTCTCAGACTGGTCACCCAGTTCCCCATCAGAAGGCCGTGTAAAAATTAGGAAACTATAGCCTATCCAGCATTTCTAGTATTTCCCTCACTGGTGAAAACAGGATCTTCACTCTCAATCCTTATCTCTTACAAGGTCACAAAATTTAGCATTTATTAACTTTGAAGACCGGCAAAAATGCAAATCATGCAAATGCCTGTTTTCCTTTCTTTAACTTTTAAGTAAAGGATTATCTACTATTTGGGCCTCTTGTAAAATGTAGGGGCTTCTTAGATGATACAGTGAAATGTCAAGAACCTCACATTCCCACTTTGTCATCTCAGGAGGAATTGGCATCTCTCTCTCTGGCTTCCTTGCCTAAGAAGTGAACTTTGAGTCATTTAGTCATTTACAATTTCTTAGGACAGGGGCTTCTACTTTTGAATCCCAATAGTTAGCAATAAGTGACAGTTTCTTATGTACAGTTGTCCCTGGGAGTATCCTTAGAGGATTGTTCCCAAGACTCCGAGGACACTAAAAAGTTCAAGGATGCTGAAGTCCCTTAAATAAAATATTATAGTTCTGCAAAGAATACATGTGCCTCCTCCCGGGTACTCTAAACCACCTCTAGTTTACTTTACAGTGGAATTGCTAAATGAATTGTGAGTATGCTATATTTCTAGGGAATAATGACACAAGAACGTCTACATGTTCAATACAGAAGCAATTTTTCCCTGATACTTTCAACCCACAGTTGATTGAATGCATAGATACAGAGCCATAGATCACCATCAGACAAGGACACCAAAAGTGGGCCTATATGACAGCTTCTTCTCATCTGCACACATCTTAGCAGGATGCATCATTACTAAGCAGTAAGGCTTGGCACTGAGGAAGAAGGCAAACATTTTGGAGAAACAGTGCTTGAGTTGAGTCATTCTTTTTAAAACATAAATTCAGAATCAGCTTTACTGTAATGGTTCAGAACTAGACACAGACTTGAACTTGGACTTACAACGACCCTCTCTGTACCTAAGTTTTTTCATCTGTAAAAGAGAAACTTGCTCCGAGGGTTGTTATGAGGATTAAGTGAATGAATAAATACAAGCTTCCTGAAAATTGACTGGCATGTAGTGAAAGGAAGTGCAAGTTGCCTGTGCTTTTTCTAGTTTGGTCAGGCTGATTTAACAAAAACATTAGCAACCTATAAAATGCAACAAATCTATAAAGGAGTGATGAGGAGCTACTTGAACAAGTAGAGAAGCCCCTGGAGGAGACAGGCTGGGCTTCAGTGCATGCAGGTGAGAATCGGTAGCCTGGAGCTCAGGCCCAGCTCCATAGCCAGCTTCAGGAGCTCACAACTTGATCTCCCTTCTCCCGCATTTCCTGGATAGAGCAAAAGGGCATCAGGCCCACACTCGTGTCAGGAAGACATGCAGTGAGCTCACTCCAAGGAGAAGGGGGGACAAACACTCACATGGGGTGCCACCTGGCCACCCCAGTATTTCTTGCCCTCTGCACTCCACACGCACATGTGCACACCATTGTTGCCAGATGGGGGCCTGGGGGCCAGGCCAAAGTGGTGCTGAGGGTTGTGCCGCAGATGTGGTTTGTCCCCAACCAAACTCATACTGCAATCTGGTTGCCAAGGCTGCAGGGTTGGGAGGTGAGACCTTTGGGAGGGATTAATGTCTCTCTCACAAGACTGGATTTGTTCTCATGGAATGGTTAGTTCCTGTGAGAGTGCTGTCACACAGCAGGTGAAGTTCTCTGTCCCCTCCCTCCTTCCAAATGCACCAGCCACTCCCACTCATGATCCCACCACGTGATGCCATCTGTCTTGTGGTCCCACCAGATGTGGCCACCCAAGCTTGAACTCTGCTGCCTCCAGAACCATAAGCTAAATAATCCTGTTTTGTAAAAATATATTGCTCGGTCTCAGGTGTTCTGTTATAGCATTAGCAAGCAGACTAAGACACTGAGCCATCTCAAGTTGCTAAACTTTAAGGCTTAGGAGAGACAGGTATATGCAAGTAAGTAAGGAATGCTGCAGCACAAATCCTAAAACCGGAGACACCACTCTCAGCAGGCTCCCAACTCTCACAAAGGCAGAAGCAGAGCAGGACTTTGCAGATCCCTCGGGGCCCACCTCTGGCACCGACTGTCCTGGACAGCAGGAGTTCACAGGGTGAATGTGAGGTGTCTGCAAAGCACCAGAGCTAAACCTACAAAGTAAGAAACTAAGCAGACAATGCTACAGGGATTGGAGTTGATGGCGCAGGAAAAATAGTAACTTAACACAAGGACAAATAAAATATCCAAAAACTTCCAAGGGTCAGGTTGGGGTATTGTAAATATCAAATGGGGATAAGTGCTTATAAAAAGAATAAAAATGTGTAAGTCAGGTGCACAAAAGTGTGTAAATAAGGGACACTACCAAGGAAGTGCATGAGAGAAAGAATACAGCAGATAAATTAATTAATGAGCTTTGGAAGAGCAAGTTTCCCTGATCTCTCAAAACCCTCCAGACAGAAGGAAAGAGAGGAAAGAAGAAAATAAGTGTCAAGAGGCTCCGAGTAAAAGTGTGACTGTGATGCAATTGGAGTATTGGTAAAAGGGAAAGAAATTAAAGAGAGGAAAGAAATATGTGGGAAAAATAATAAATGAGGTTTCCCAAAAAATAAAGGTGAAAGTTTCAGATTGAAATTGCAAAGGAAATATTTAAAAGAATGTATGCAGGAGAAATTCTAAGAATGTGTCATTAAAATTTAATGATATCACAGAAAAAGAGGAAATTCTGAGAACTTTAAGAGAGGAAAGGAGCCTCGCTGACTAAGGAAAATGAATCGCGCTGTTCCAGTATCTCAAGGGTAGGACCCGCAGGTGCAGCTGTAACACAAGGAAGAGGCGAAGGACGGGAACCAGAGGGACACAGCCAGTGGAGCCCTCACAAAAGTGCATGGAGAAAAGAAAGGGATTCTCTATCACTCGGAGTCTCCAAATCTCTGAAAACACAGGAGAAATACTTCAGTCAAAGAAAGCTTCCAGAAGCCAGAGAAATGTATTAGGAATCGCTGTTTAAGTAAAATAACTTTAAAAGTCTATTGCCTAAATATGGAATTATCAAAATAAGGAAGAAAATACTTATTCATTTAAAAAAAATTCAGTCTTTTCTCCATTTTTATGTGCTCTATTTTATTTTTTAAAATAATTGTGAAGGTACGCACATATTTCAGAGTTAACACTCTGTGAGGTGCCAAGAAGGAGACAGGATGGAGGCGGGCCTGTTGGTGGAGGGTGACTCTGCTGGAGGACTGAGCTGATTTCAGAAAAGACCCACTATTGCTGCACTTGGGAAACTGACAGGGAGGAAGTCACAGGGGAGATCGTTATAGATTGGGATGAACATCAGAATCACAAAAATGAGCTGCTTAAATTTAAAGGGACAGAGGAAGACTCAGCCTGTCCAATGTTAGAAGAGAAAAAGAGCAAACGGCAAAAAGTATAATAAAGGGAGTATGGCAATAATATGAAAGAAATTATAAAATGTACAAATGGAAGCAGACAGTGATTTCTTAAATAAGACAAAGGGGAAATTAATAAATATATTTTAATGAAATAAACTCTGTACATTAATAGAGTAAAATTGCAACTTGCACAGTGGAAGAAGGTAAGTCATAATACATGTATTTGACCCAGAACACATTTCCAGAATATATTTAATATATGTATATATCAGATATATTTTATATATATATCATATATATGAGAAAAATGACAGCACAAATTCCTATGAGTCAATGCACCAAGACCACCAACTCAATAGAAAAATATGCAACAGACTTAAGAACGTCTTCATGAAATTTGGATATGCACACAGCCAAGAAACACAAAAAATGCTCTTTAAATTTAAATTAGAGAAACACAAATTCCTCCCTATGAGCCTACCACATTCTCGTTAGAATCACTGAAAAGAAAAAAAAAACCAGAAAATTCTGTTGATAAAAATGTAGGTCAACTAAACCCCTTATATAACACTGGTAAGTGAGTAAATTGACATAGTCAGTAACACA